TCGTGCTAGTACTCGAGTACGGTTTTGTCGTACTCGTACTCGAGTACGATTTTGTCGTACTCGTACTCGTACTCGGAGGGTCGGTACTCATACTCGTACTCGTACTCGGAGGGTCGGTACTCATACTCGTACTCGTACTCGTACTCGTACTCGAGAAAGTCCATACTCGCCCAGCTCTGTTCCAATGCTTGAGAAAGCACGGACTTTATTTTATGATATGGATGTGCATGTGGGCAGATGTGGGTGTCGGTATAAGTGTGGGTGTGGATGAAGTAGATAGAGTGAAAACCCGCACCCATCCACACTAAAAAAAATCAATATAATATACAAAATATTGAAAAATACAGTTATATATAATTACAAATAAACTTCACTAGATCAAGTTTTTAATAAGACATAAGTAATTATATAGTATCTGCTATTTCTATTGTATTATTTTTAATCTTGTTATTCAGCATATGATAATGTATTTGTATAACCTTGTTTGTTTTTATAAATTCACTATAGTAATTCAAAACTTTAATAGTTTTTAATACCCACGCTCAACGTTCGAAAAAATAAATGATTTGATTCGTAAAGGTATTCTTTGATTTCATTAAATTGATGGGTGTGGGTGAACGCAAGATAAGAGAATAAAGAGATACATCTACACCACACCTAAACTCTTTAGCTGTTAATATACGCCATCTTTCGTTACAATAGTTGCCTGCATTGGTATTTCTTAATTTTTTTCAATCAATGAACATTCTCGATAATATTATACATATATCATTTTCATTTTAAATATTTATTATATTCACAATAGATCATCTTTCACTTTTTGTTTTATTTCATATTACTAATAGAAAGAAAAGTATACGACATCTCATAAAATGATTCATTTATCTCCTTGTACAGTTATTCTTTTTTTTTCGCTATCAAAAACTTTATAAATATCATTATTATAAACTCAATCAATCTTGTCAAATGATTACACCTTTTCATTTCGTTTAGATTTTTTCGAAAATTATGTCGTGGATAGTTGAACAAAGTGAAAATACATCTGCTGTTAATGTTAATGGTGATACAATAACATGTCAAAGTAATAGTGGATATGGTAGTCCAATAAATGTTATGTATAAAGATCCAGCTGATAAAAATGGACAATATTTTTGGCAAATTGATATTAAAGATTTAGATGAACAAAGTGGTGGAATTATATCAGTTGGTTTAACAACCGATCAAGGTTTTAAAGATGGATGGGGTTTAAAAGCAATGAAATATTTAGGTAATCTATCAGATGGTAGTGGTCTATTAGTTCAATCGTTTGGTAATCAAATAAAAAAAAATGATAAAGTTGAAATATTATTACAATTAAATGATAAAGATTTAAAAATGTATCTTTTTCATAATGATCGTCCATTAGGTTTAGCATTTCATATTCAATCACCATATCCAAAACCATTATATCCTGGTAAAATAAATCTCTCTATATTTGTCTTCTGAAGATTTTTTTTCTAGTTGTTAGTTTTGATGCAAATGGTCAAGTTAAAATTTCTCGATCTCAACAAATTCCATCAAGATTAAATCGTACAGGATTACAATATAATGGTGTTGAAGGTCATTGGAAAATTGTTGATTATCCTCAACATCCTGAATGTGATGGTTGTCAACTTGAAATCAAACAACAAGATGATGATAATAAAAATATTTATCATATTCATGCACGTGTTGTTAATAGTTTAAATTGTGGATTAGAATATAATTCTTCATCAAATCAATGGAAATCGTCTCATGTAATGTCAACAAAGATGCTTGGTCCACCCGAAGAAATGAAAAGAGAAGATGCTGTTAGTAGTTTAATCTCTAGTATACAAAATTTAGAAGTTCAAGGTCAAGAACAATTAATTATTCGAACAAATCAAGGTGAACAAATTCGATTAGAACGTTTTGAAAAATCAGCACCATCAGCAGTTACAGAAAATATATTTAATTGATAAGCATTCATATTATTTAAGATACACTTCAAGAGAAAAAAATTACAAATATTATTCACATTTATTTTTAGTTGATCATTTAAACATTATATAAAAATATAGCTATAAGTTGTTTATCATCTTCGTTTTTTTATTTATTTTATTCTTGTTAAAAGATCAATAGTTGCTAACAAAGTATATATCATTATTTTACAATACATACATCTATTCTGTACAAAAACTAATATCAGAATGTATAAAGTTTAACAAAATATTTTTTATTGACCAATGTCTTATTGATAGTAGAGATTAAATTGATATGAATACTTTTTGACCTAAGTACGGTATTTAGTACCATGTCAACAGATACTATTTTATATTTTAACTTCGCTTTTGATTATCATGAGCTGAATTCAATGAAAAAATAATAAGGCCTCAAAGGTTTAATTAGAAAGAAAGATTGTTCTAAATTCTTGATGTCTTATTTAGTACTGATATTACTACCTATTTTAAAAGAATAGGCGAGTGGCTATTATATAAAGCTTTTAGAATAAAAGAGTATATCTCTCATCGACAATATATGCATTTATTGATTGTTGCGTGCATTTCAGAATCGCCAGACATGGATCTGCAAAACTAGGGAAAGATTTCATTTCTGACTACTATTGCTAACATATTTTACTCATCAAAATATAGTTAACTATTCCATTTTTGTGATATTTTTAATAGAAAATCGAGTTTTCGAAAATGCTTAACTACAACTCTTAGAAAAGTGTTTGGAGTGTGCATGTGAGTATCGGTATAATAATGGCACTACATTCATTCCACATCCATACTCAACCATCCACCCACACTCTCACTCTCAAGATGCTTATTTTACATTTTCTTTAACTAAGTTTCCTAACAGTCATATCTTCGAAAGGATTTATTGATTCAGTAGTCAATACGTCACTTTGCTAGTGCCACTTCATAATTAAAATAAGCGAGGCTCATAGAGCCGGTCAACCCACCATTCTCTTGAAGACATTTTGTGATAAAATGAAGTCAAAAATACTTTTCATGTTTCTGAAAAGGAATGGCAAAACGTTAAAATGGTTTTGTATTCGTTATACCTGTATTGACTTGTGTGAATAGTGACATCTTTAAAAGCTATAACTTATTCATGCTTTTTCTCTCCATTCGCTCCTCTCGTAATCTCATCTGCTCTAACGTCAAATGTATACTTAAAAACAGATTCATCTAGTGACAATAAAATAAAAATGGTTACACAGTTTGAACAACTCAGTAGTGAGACCATTATGGATTTATGGGAATATATAGACTTATTTTCCCTATGGCGTGGTTGGTTCAATCTTAATTATCGATTTAATCAGATATTGTGTGATAGTCGCCTTCGATTCAAATTCAATGCACAATTATTTCCAAAAGACAAAATCCATGATTTTTATAACTTTTGTATATCAGTAATACCGTTCTTCTCATCTAGATTGACTTCATTGATACTAACAAAACCGTATACCAGTGAATTCATGACGACGTGTGGTCAAATGAAATTCGATCGATTGAAAGTATTAATATTTGATGAAACACACGCAGCAGGTAATCAAAGGATTTCATGGACTTATAAATGTGTATTTTTTTGTTTGTGCCAGATTACTATAACGACAAGATTAAGATGATACTACAAATTGTTTTCAATTTGAAAACATTAAGAAAATTGGCTTTTTATACTCAGACGGGTTGCGCAACAGTCCGTACTTTCAAATAATATTATTTGCCAAAATCAGTTGCCCCAATTAACAGCATTTACGTTGCACAATGGATATTTTAATCTCGAACTTAGCGATAACAACTTGTCAGTGACGAACTGTATCATACGATTAAATATCAACTGTGAAATGAACGATTTAACAGCAATATTTCGCTGTTCAACAAGTCTGAAACATCTTAGGATAGGTTTGTCCGATGGGTACGTTTATGTTTGGTTTCTTTTTGGTATGATAAGTTGACTAGACATTTCTAGATGGACTTATCAATCATGGGAACACCGCGGCAAGCCGTCGTTGCCTGCGTTACCTACACTTCAAGAATTCTGTGTCGGTGTTCAAAACATACCATTCGATGATTTTTCTAACATAATCAACGCGATGCCAAACGTAAAACTTGTTGAAATAAGTGGAATGTTAAATGAAGATTATTGCTACGATGGAGAAAAATTAAAACATTTACTCACAAGTATAAAGACGGTGACCATCAACAAACTCGAGTATCAAACAAAACAATCTATGAGCACATTTCGATTTGTAAATGACGAGTATTGGTATAATGTTAAATATGAAAAAGTCGATAAGCATGATTGGTTAACTCTATCAGCTATGGGAGGAAGTTGCCGTAATTAACTCTTTCATTTTCTATTTGAAAATAAATCCTATAACGTTCTGTTGTATCGACAAGATACTGAACGCAATGAATTGTATATCAACAACTCGTTACCTGCACTCTTCTATGTTCTATAGTTTGTCGTGTCATATAGAAAATAATTAATTTTACGATCCACATTGACTCATTGAAATTTTTTATGATGCCATTTGATCTAGCGTGCATCATATAGTATATGTTACGGGAAATATCTTGATTTGAACGCAGGTAACATCTCATGATATGATAAAAACGAGCTGTATCTTGAAGATCTCTACCGATGTTAAGAGTAGGAGGATGAGTCCAGTCTGCCATGATCGAGACTTTGACTTTGTTGAAGGATCTCAATAGACGGCTTTGACGCTAATATAGTTGTTTAGAACGATTTAAAGAAAAATCACAAATCATCTCGAGGATAGGCGTGGGTGCGGGTATCATATTACTCTGATAACGATATCCACATCCTGAAGATGATCCTGTTAGCTATAATCTTTGTATTCATCGTGTATCGATCGCAGTGAAGAATTGTATGTATGTAATAGGCGAACGATTTATATATAATATATGAGAAAAGAATAATAATATAATGTCATGAAAAATATAAATAGACGGGAAGTAATGGTTTGTCTACTTCTGCTGTGAACCAATTTCAATACTTGTATCATCTGTTTTGACTGATGATTGATTTGGCATAATCTCAGAAATCAAAGACATGAATGCTAGTTCAACATTAGTTGTATTCTTTGCCGATGTTTCCACATATAGTATATTTAACGAGTCAGCTAAATTCTACAAAAGGATGACTCATAAGATGACAGATTCAATGATTCTTTTGAACTATATACTTTGGCTTGTGCATGATCAACCACTCTTTTCAATGTCAAATCACATTTGTTACCGACTAACAATGTCTTCAAATCGTTATTACTGTTTTCATTGATTTCTTGTAACCATCTTGTAACATTCTCAAATGATTTCTTAACAAAAATAATTCAGTACTAGTTCAGTCACAAGAAATTTTGATGACATACTAAATTTGTAACATCGAATACTACGAAAGCACCTTTGGCATTTCGATAGTGAGAACCTGAAAACAAGTGCAACAATAAATCAATCAGTCAACGCAGAAATGTAATTTTTATGGCTTTTTTCCATGTTCGAAGTATATGAGAGAAAGAAAATTACTTATTAAACTTCGAAATCGTTCTTGACCAGCTGTATCCCACTAAAAGATACAAACAAAATAAGTTTTTCTCTACAATACGAATATCTACATACAATATGTGTAATTGAGTTGTTGTTCCATTATGCTTAATTACATGATTCATCTACAAGAGAACTTTTGACTTGATTCTGCGAATAGTGGCTAGAAGAAACGACTTACAAAATCGACACCAACCGTAGGTAAGAAAATATCATTAAAAGCGTCATTCTAGAAGATACAAAAATGTGAATATGAGGAACATGAAGTGATTAGTATTTACTGCAAAACGTAGGAACAAGGATGTTTTTCCTACACCTGAATCACCGAGCAGCACCAATTTAAATATACGATTACTAAACGATAAGCATACGTTTGTTTTATAGATTTTTAAGGATGCTGGAATCTAATGATCATAGACAACTTACTCTTCAGCATTTGTTTCAATGGTAGTGTCCAGTGGTTTTATACTAGATTTAGCATTGATATCTGATATCTCTATGGGTATTCCTGAAGTGGTCGATATCAAATAATTGATTTTCGCTTTGAATTCTTCTTGAACATTCGATGCGTTCTTAGCTGATGTTTCTACATATGGCATACTCAATGAATCAGCTAAATCTTATAAGATTAACAATTACGAGACAAAATTCTTTTGTATCACATACTTTAGCTTGTGCATAATCAACAACTCTTTCCGCTATCAAATCACATTTGTTACCGACTAACAATTTATTCAGATCAGTAGATATAATGTTATCGATTTCATGTGTCCACATTTTAACATTCTGAAACGATCTCTATAATTAAGAAGACACTTTAGTACTAATTTAGAGAAGATCATTTTGATTACATACTGCATTTGTGACATCGAAAACTATGATAACAACACTGGCACCCCGTATGTAAGAACCTAGAAATGAAGCCTTTTAATAAATTTTGAGGTTTAAAGCAAAGTTACCTATTAATGATCGATATCGTTCCTGGCCTGCGCTATCGAACTAAACGAGACAAAAATAATGATTATTATTGTGACATTGATTCTATTTACAATTTGTAACTGAATTATTTTTCCATCATCCTCAATCCTATGAGTTATCTAGAAGTCAGATGCAATCATTAGTCAATATTTATTTACAATATGAGAAAAGTTCTACTCACAGAATCGATTCCCACGGTCGGTGATGCTTTCTCCGTGAATGTGTCATACTAAAAGAAATCAGTATCAGTTTAAGACGAGAAATTTGAAAATAGATACCACAAAACGAGACACAAGAGACGATTTTCCGACATTTGTGTCTCCAACGAACACTAATTTGAATCTTAAATTGATGAGAAATATATACAAATTTTTCTTGGATTCCTAATAAGAAGAATTTTTAATGACACGAAAAACATACTTATTAGTAGCCATTGTATGGAAATTTTGATGGTGTCTATCGAATAAAGAAAATAAAGCTATGTAGTCAACCTAAAAATGAAAGAATTTATACAAAGCGTAATAGTATAGCATAATTATGTGAAATGAACAAGTAATCTTTTTCTAGAAAAGTCCAACTAACATGTAATTTCACCATGTTAAACAAGCGTCAAATGCAATGACATGCGTATTTTTATAAACATTGTTTTCTTCTTTTATGGCTCTAAATGTCAACAAAAGTTCCATGGCTACGGAGAAAAGAACGCAAGAGAAAAAAGAAAAGACGTTCAATATGCTGGAGTGCCTTTCATAGTACCTTGCAATTTTGTTATATATAAAAAGGGTGTGGGTGTTCTTGTTTTACCATCATTCACATCTTCAAGAATCAACTAGATCTTAGAAGGACTATGAAGTCATCCAAAGAAACAAAAAGATAAAAGTTGAATTTTGTTATCTTTTGTGATAAATATAAACCAGAAAAAAAGTAAGTCATCTCATTTATTCGCTTTTTGTAAAACAAGTAAAGGTAAGATAAGAGGTTTTGTTACATATTGAGTCTTCTTAAAACTTCAACTGATTTGTTCTCAGCCTCTATAATCGCAATAAATAAATGAAAAGACTTTAAAGTGTGAACAAACAATTATCATTTTGTGCGTTTTTTTTTATAGAAATAATGCTTGTACCTCTGTTGGTGTTAGTATCAATAATAATAAATCCATGTTCAATGTTACAATGTTATGAGTGTGAACCAAAGATTTATAATTTTCTTATAACACCCGATAATATCCCTTCGACATTCAATTGTACGACAATCGTTACACCAAATAAGTTCTGTTCATTGGGTATTTCGACAGTAGAAAATGGAACAAAAAGTGATCTTCGTGTAACTGCATTAGATTCTCGTGAAAATAAAGATGTTCCCTATGTTCTGACTGGATTTACTCAACATAATAGTGGAAATTATTCTACATACATTCTGTACCATTGTTTAACAGATAATTGTAATAATCCTAATCTTGTTCTTAAACCTTTACTTGAATCAACAGAAACTGAAATAAAACCACCTTCAGTTTTATCTATTAGACAATCAAAATCATTAACTTCTATCGGATGTTTCACGTATTCAAATTTTACAAATTCAAGTGAATGTAAACCAGCACGTCGGATGACAACAACAGAAGAAGATGATTGTTCGTTTTGTACAACATTTATTAACGTTGATCGAAAAAATTTACATACAGAAAGAGTATGTTCATATTGTGAAAAAACTGTTGAATCAATTGAAAAATGGAGATATATTGATGGAAGAATTCATTTATTAAATGATCGCATTAGTCATTTGGATTATGTATCCTATGTTTGTAATAATACAAATGATTGCAATTCATTAGAAAATATTAAAAATATACAAAATACATATAAAATTCAATTTGATTTTGAGAAATTTTTAGGATCTTCAAGTATTACAAATTACTTAATATCCTACACGAACTATATCGTTTGTTTTACAATGATTTTACAACTAATCTATCTTTTATAAAACATAATAAACTCTATTTTTTTATGTGTGTATTCTTATAACAGTTCATGATTTAAATAAAATATTTTCAATTAATAATAAAAGTATTAATTAGAATATCTTAAGGGTGGAGATACATATGAACTCTAAACGCTTGAATAAGTTCATATTTCTAAAATCGTACCTTTATTGAAAAATATGTTACTTCCAATTGCTGGCAAACTTTTTTTTTTATGTTTGTTTAATACATATTTACTTCAAAACATACAACATTTTCAATGTTATTTCATAAAAAAATACGTCTTTCTTTCTTTCTTTCTCACTCACTATTTAAAACAACATTGCGAGAATTTCTCTTTAATTTCATATTAAAATTTTTTTTCTAGTGAGATAAAGTTTTCAATAGCTTAACATAATTTATAAATAATGGATGGAACAACATCATGTCATTATTCTTCATCTAATCCAAGAAACAATGGATGTACTTCTACATATTCAAATAATTCTATATTTATTATTGGTATTGTAATAGGATCTTTAATAGGTATCGCAATCTTCATTTTGATTCTGGTTATTATTTATAAACTAATACGAAAAATAAATTTGGCAACAAATCAGCATCATAGCATGAATCCTTATGGTATACTAGTGAATATGAGAAGTTATCAGCAAATAATATAACAGCCAGATATATATTCCGTAACATCTTCATACGGAAATAATTATGAAAATGCGATGCAAAAATGTAATACATAAGAATTTCTCTTCAGTATTTGTGATAAACTTGAAATGAAGTAAATAAGTATTCAAAAAAAAATTTATTTAATAAACAATGAGAATATATATATAATAAAATGTATTACATAGTTTATATCGATAGTATTTAAGATCCTATTATTAATTTCATCGTGTCTTCTATTGAATAAAAATAATCATTAAAGTTTTATTCCATTTAAACAGTATCGATATAAATGTAATACAGTTCCGAAAGAATGATGTCTTGTTTAACCACCGCTTTTGAAAACTTTCTGTGCTATTGCTGTAGCAACTGCACCAGGTAATGTCCAAATGGCAAGTAAGAGGAATACAATACAAATAATTGCGATGAGTGCAATTATAATTGGCCATTTAGAATTACGCCATATAACATAACGAAATACTTTCCATGGAGATGTAAACCAAAGAAATGATGTTTTTGGTCGACTAGAATAAAAAACATCAAACATTTTTGTTTTTGTTAAATTAAACTAAATAAATTATTGAATCTAACTTAGGTTCATCAAGTGGTTGTGGTGCTTCACGTGCTTTTCCAACAGCATTTTTTTCTGCTTCTTCAGCTGTAAGAAGTGAAAATTCTGCTTCAACTTTTCCCTTTTCAAATTAAAACAAAAAACAAAATATTTATCTCTATTTCTATAGTTATTCACTTACACCTAATAAATTTTTATCACGAATAACACCTTCTGCTTGTGGTGCAATCATTGGCCAATGACCTATATAGATTTAAAGTAAATCAATCAAATAAAAAAACTATCTTCATACCAACAAGACGTTTACTAACAAATAAATTAGTTGATGGTTGTTTAGAATCGAGTACAATATTTGCTTTACATTTTTTTGCTGTTCTTGCACCGAGTGGTATATGTGTTAAAGTAAGAACACATTCACCTAGAAAATCATCTGCTGATAATAAATCTGCATCATAAACACGAATAACAATTCTAGGTGGTATTTTTTTTGTTGTATTGCCAACTTGAAATAGAGAATCTTTTGCTTCATAAACAATTTTTTCTTCTATTTCTAAATAAGTAAAATCAAATACAAATCGCCAATTAAAATTTCCTTCGCCCGTCAATGATCTATTAATTAGAAAAAGAAAAAATTATTAGATTTTATTTCCATGAAAAACTAACCGATAATGAACATCAGTTTGTTGTGAATCAACATTTTCTCCTAATATCCATGCTTTAACATAAATATCAGATGTTTTTTCTCCAGTAACAAAATTTTCATCATTTAATTCAACATCATTAGTATTCCAAATAGTTAAACGTAATTGGTAGGGTGTAGGTACGGGTGGTGTTATATCAATTGGAGCACTTGATGGTGGTCGTGACATTGGAAAAAAATCTAACCACATTTCTAATTTTCCTTGTTCAGTTTCAGGAAATTCATCGTTAAATAATGATCGACATTCAATATGTTCAGCAACTAATGCACATTTCTATTTACAAAATTTTTATACAATTAAATAAAAAAAAGAATGTTTTTCCCTACTGGATTTATTTTCTTTCCCCATGCTTGAAGTGCAACTAATGCTGTATTTTGTTGAATATATTCTGCAGGTGATTCATGATGAACTCTTCTATGTAACGTTGCTTGAGCTGATTTAACATTTATTATAAATTCAACACATGCTGGATCACAACAAAATGTTTGATCACCAATTGTAACTGATTGAAAATCTTCGGAATAGTCTGGTGTCAAATCAGTTGTACTTTGACATAATTCAGATAGAATAACTGTAGGTTTTTTTGTATCACGCCATGCATTATAACCCGCACTAAAATTTAAATAAATTTACATATTTTTATTTATTTTAATTTACCTATCATATCGTTGCGGTAAACCACATGTTGCTCTATGACATGAAAAAAAACGATTTTCAATATCAATTTTTGTTTCAGCTATAATATCATTAGAACTTGTCATATCCCAATCCCATATTTGTATACGTAATAAAGAATCAGTTGGTATTGTAACATCAAATTCATATGATCTAGTGAAAAATAGATAGTCATTGTATATTTATATATATATTGGATTGTTTACCTTCCAAA